AAGTAATAAATGTATAGCGTATGCTACCATTTTTATGTTGAATAGCATTGTGGATTATTTCTTTAAGACAATTTTTCAATTTCACATGGGGAATGGTGGTATACAGGGTTGAAAAATCAAAAGTTTTGAGAGAACTAATTTAAAAAAAAAGGTCGAAAAGAATCCACATATGGTTAATACCACTACGCGAGTATAAGCATTTCTGAAGACCCTCTTTCAGTGCAGACAGAATGTTTGTCAATCTAATGGCCAATTCTTTAGTCGAACATGCAGATCAGCCGGCAATTTACCGTTGCAGGTACGGGATTTTGTGAAGCTTAGGTATCCAATACAAACAAGGTAAGTCCTCCGATTTGTTGTTCAATGCAATGTTCATTAAATCCATGAAGGACGTATGATTCGCCAAAATCTCATCCTTGTCAAATGATATGTTTTTGTATGTGGAATTACCTGAGTGCTAATTTATTCCTAATTCTTTTACAAGACACTCGTAGTAGTACAATTTACATACAAAGACAATATTATTTGAAGCTTTGTCAGCAGGAACAAGACCATACTTATCGTGTAGAGATGATAGGCATTTCACAGCATCGAGCTTTGGTCTCTGAAAACGGACTTTGGTCGAACATTCACACAGTTTTTCAACTTATGAATGCGACGTTTTATCAGACACCTGATTGTTTTGGCCCATTCTGACAAAGTGTCCAGTTCAACTTCTTCTCGTTTAGTCCATGCTCTGGCGTAGTTCACAATGGAATCCATAATGATTTTGAAGTTATGGTTCCAATTGATGTGTACGGGTTCTCTAAACTAAGGACTATGAGATATCACCTTTCGGAGATGTTCATGTTGAATTTTGTTTAGATCCCAAGTAATAACATGACCAGAGGGACTGTAAGGATAAGGCGAGAGGGAACATTCACATGTCAGAGTGTTTTTTAGGTATTGTTCTAATTCAAGGTCCTGCAATAAAATGTTTATTAAGCTTACACCTCTAAGGAATGACATTATTAGGCACATCACGTATATGGGAAGATATTGCAATGCAGATGAATTTTTAGGTTTTGAAAAAGATAAAAAAATTGCAGAAATAGGCAACGTTTGGGTGGGACATGCAAAATTTCATGCATTAACCCTGGGTCCCTTAATTTGCCTCTGCAAAGATTCATATGGTCAGTCAAAACCTCTTTATCGATGAAAGATCGGTAATTTCATAGCAAAATTAAAATAAAACACAACATAACCAGAAAAACATTAGTACAATGTAACCAAAAGAAACAAACCGAAAACAAAACATATATAAAAATACCCTGGTAGGATAGTGTTTGATCATCAGATTGTTAAACAATGATTAAGGAGTTAAATTAGTTGTGTCATCTGTACTATTATTTGTCTGTTTGTCTTTTTATTTTTGGCCATGACGTTGTCAGTTTGTTTTCGATCTATGAGTTTGACTGTCCCTCTGGTATCTTTCGTCCCTCTTTTAGAATAAACCAGATGAATATTCTCATGAATATCTTAATCCTTAAGTCTTTAATGCCTACTTATAAGGCATTCCTCTCCTCTCTTAAAATACATATTATAACGATTTCCATTGAACATTATCGATGGAAAATGCAATGTTTCATTTATATATCGTATATTTTAAAAATATGTATTTTTTGAATGGATAATAGTTTGTTTTCTCTCACAGTGAGTAGCAGAAACTGGTAATCAGAAGCAAGAAGTATTTTTGTGCCAACTGTATTGTTTTTAAAACAACGGTAATTCTTTCAGTAAAACCAATATACTGTAACACAATCTGGGATGGCAACAAAACAAACTCTCATACGTACAAATTCATTACTGGTAGCTTTTCTAATTTAAGTACAAAATACAACAAAGGCGATCAAAACCAAATGCAAGCTACACAAAAGGTTATAACTAGACCAGAAGCATGTGGACGACAATGTATGCAGACAATCGAAAAAAGACTCAATACATTCATGAGATGGCAATGCACTAGAATATGGCCTAAACACTTAGCAGAGGCAGGACTCTTTAAAACAGGAGAAACAACCGTTCAGTGTTATAAATGTGGAATAATATTAGACACGGCGTACTTTCAGACATTACCGAAAACCATTCATAAGTTGGTATCCCCTGAGTGTATTTTCTCTGTAGAGCTTTGAAAGGACGAATGTATTCAAAATCATAGACAGAAAATGATACGTATTTAACATAAACCGTATGAAAATATGTAAGACTCCGTTTGTTACCAACTTACTATTCACAGAAGAAAGCAGAGAAAAACATGTAACATTACAAGTTTGTGTACGCCTTTTATGATGTATGCGTTACTGGCAATATAGCGCGATATTTCGTATTTCGAAATTGCATATATTGCTGTTTCGAAACCTGATTCGACGAAAGATTGGAGGAAAGCTTGGAGCATAATTAAAATCATATTCTTCAACGTTAGCTCATAAATCACTCGATACTGTTACACTGGGGATCGGTCCGTTGACAGTGTAGGATTATTAAGTGTATAACTAGCGCTTATCCTATTAATTTACGAAATGTCTATTAAAGTTATAGTGAACTTAGAATATAAATAATCTCAGACATTCGCATTATAGACATGTGATCATGTCTCAAACAAAGGAGAAAAAACATATTTACATACCGTTTTTGTCTTTTCGAAGTAAAAATTTGAATTAATTATTGATAAAATTGAATTTTTACACAAATCTGTTTTGGTTTCTCTGCAAAGTATTCATCAAAATAAACCTTAACGGACTTAGTGACATCGTTGCCTATAAAGAAAAGAGATAAAACAAATGAAAAAGTGTGAACCAAGCGTTGGTACCCTGGAATCATTCTCGATCAACCGCATGAGGACGTGTGTAAAGATATATGTGCTGAATTGTCCATTGATAACAAAACATGCTAGAATAATTGCAATGCACGTCAGAGGTTGACAATGAAAACGACGTTCACAGTTTTTTCGTCCTTTGTCAGAGTGTATGATGACGAAACTATCGCACTTATCATTTAGATTGAAACAAAAGTCATATAGTACTCGATGACATCCTTTTTGCTGGTTATAGAATTGAGTTGAGAGAAAGATTAAACAAAATCAAAACATTCTGTTTTGTAAATAGGAATCAAGAATCAATCTAGCTGATATTTGCATCAAATATTTTTCCCTAAACATGAAATATCAAGACTTGTAAAAAAAAACCACCTACTGTGGATACATTATTATTCGTGGGGATAAACAAAGAATGTAAATGTTAAACGAATTACTCATTTTCTAAAAGGTTGTTTGCAGACATTGGCAAAACCACGAAATCAAATATCCACGAAAAAGCCAGTTGTTCTCAATCCACGAAAAATTGAACCCACGAAAATATATGGATCCACAGTACTATTTCGAAGAACGGTTGTGGTCACGTTTTAAATGACACAATTCATAGTAATGGTGATGTTGTTTTGCAGAATTATTATTATTTAACGGAAATACTTTTCGATTAAATTTGAAATTCGAATGCTTTTTTTCATTCTACAACTATGAAACAATCCGGCACCAAATGACCAAATGACGTAGAAGTCACCGTACGGTCTTCAATAATGAGCAACAACCATACTGCATAGAAAGCTATAAAAGCTCCCAAAATGACAAATTCAAACGAGAAAATTAACGGCGTTCTTTATCTACAAATCTACAAAACCATAAAAACTAATATGATAAACACGTACAGAATGCGGAGGGAGTTAAACATGTTTACAGGCGCCCAACCCTCTCCTAACCTTAGAGAGTGATGTAACAACAGAACTTCAGAAAAATCTATAAGCATCAGTCAAAAAGGTCGTAACTCATCAGATCAATACAAAGCAAAAAAACAACTGACATAAAGACAACAGACACAAAGTCTCCTTTCATAAAAATTCTTACGGTTATTTTTGTCATTAGGTTGGTTTCTTATTGGGATATGTACATTTACCCCAACCTGATCACATCTTTTACTAAACAATAGCGATAGTCAACACATGGCATGTCATGAATGAGGGATAAAAAAATGTTCAATTTTGACTTTTTATATGATAATAAAGAATATCCATAAAATTTGGCAAGTGACCGATACCAATAATTTGTTATATCAAGTAATGCTCTTAGTATACACTTTGTGTTACTGTGAATTCATTATTATTCGTTAGATACCAATTTTCGTGGATTTCGTTGGTACAGGTGAACCACGAAATTTAATGTTCAACAAATGACAAATTTTCTATTGGCTTGTATGCAAACTTTGGTATAACCACGAAATTAAATATCCACGAATGTGCACGTTTTTCTTAGTCCACGAAAATTGATACCCACGAAAATAAAGAATCCACAGTATATTTTGTTTAGTTGTGTATTGGTAATTTGACAAACAAAATACAAAACTTTGTACTTATTGCTCTTTTACCATTTACCACTATGTTCTCCTTGTTTTAAAAATAGAATAAACAACTTATCTTTTTATTTAGTTGTCTTTCAATTATATCCTAAGTAATAAATCACATTATCATCCCTTTTCCTCAAGAGAATATTCAACAAATCAATGTAAACGGGTGCGTGTTGGATACTAACATGCAAGTAATACAAACATGTAATGTATGTTAATTAGAAATAACTGCAATTTGATACAATTGTTTATATGATTTTTTATAAATATGATATAAACCTAATTATGAATCTTCAATTGAAATTCTAACAAAGTATCATTGTGTTTCATATTATATTGAAATATTAGTTAACGTCAGGAAATTTATAGAAAATACAAATCTTTAAATCAAAACTTTTACCAATTGTTGTTTTCATGTTTGTTATGTCCCTCTCAGTTGGCAACCACATATAAAAACACACAATGGAATCTAGTAAACGAATAGTCATCCGAGATTTTACTATGTGTAAGGAAGTGCTTGTTAACCCTCAGAAACATAAAATCTTATGAAAATATTTGAAGAAGTGGATGTTTGCAATTTTGATTGTGTAAATATGAAAAGGTAACTTCTTTAATTTAGATCTATATTTTCAAATCATTATAACACTATATCATACATATTTAAAGCCATATAGCAGTTACACTTCTATGTTAAAATGATCGTGTCTGTGGTTTCCATAATGAATAATTCCAAAAGGCATTTCTCAACTTCAAACACTGAAAACTTCGAACCATCAAAGGATATTTGTCTAGTAATTCATAGTGCTAAGCTCTAACATACAAAAACCTAGATGACCAAAATGACTGACAATGACCACTAACTGCTAATCAATCGGTAAAGGCTCCATCAACTGGTTTAAGCAATTCTTGAAGATGAGTAATGCCCACTGTTATTGCTATCCAAATGTTTTTGAAGAATATATGTATTAGTTAGTGTGTCAGCATGTCTCCCATATAGTATAGGCTACAACTAAACTAAAGAATTTAAATATTCAATTCGCCGTTTTACGATAGAAATGTCTTGATTCGTTTCGTTATCTCTTTGTTGCAATGTGGACAATAGTCAAGTTGTTGTGCGCAAGTTTCACACGTAATTCGATGTCCACAGCTTGCAAACAATATTGACACATCGTTGGTTTTACATCGAAAACATAGAAGCTTCTCTTTTAGCTGTCGGTTTATTTCTTTAAGCGTTGATGGATCTAAGAAAAAATAGATGTGTAAATATGGTTAGACTGTAACATACAAACACCGAAGTAAATGATCCAAATAAAATATTATTTTATAATTATTCATAATATATAAAGTACTTTTGTCATCTAGGAACATGTTTCCATATCTCCTCAGTGTAGTTATAAAACATTGAGACTACAAGAAGTCAAAACCAGATTACTACGTAGTAGAAAAATTTCCCTTGCGGCTGTGTAAGTAATTATTGAAATTGTGCGCGCAATATAGAGTTGTACAAAACAGTTTACAATATAACATGTATTAAGAGCTTTTGTTTTTGTTGCTGTTATTCAATATGTCAAACATGGTGGCATTGTGTCAATAATCGAAAAATCTACGGACTCAAGTAAAATGATCTGATCAAATTGACGGTATCAAAAGGTCAACAGCGTATAATGACGAATAATTCTACAAAGTATGAACATTTCTATCAAACGGTGTGAGAGGAATTCCCAGTGTGTCGTAGGGGTAGGATTGTACAAACAGTTCTGCTAAAGTAATCAACCAGTTTGACGGTATCATATGTCAACTTAACATGATTGTAAACAATCCTACCAAATATGAGAGCTTTTGTCTAACTGTGTCAGAGGGGTTGCGTTCCCAATGTGCCATTGCACTACGATAGTTAAAAAATATTCAAACTAAAATATCTCCCGTAAAAATGGTTGAATCAAAATAACGGTATAATATGGTCAACAGATACAGTTTGATGACAAATAATCCTACAAAGACGTGAGCTTGTGGTCAAACGGTCTCTGGGTATGGGTGTGTTACGGACGGACAGAAAATGATTATATCCCCCGCGGAGGGAGCAGAGAGAGTTACAATAGCTATAAAACTAAATGTCAATTATATTATTACAAGCAACAATGCAATTGCGCAGCTTTTCCTGTACTGTTTTTATAATGTGTTCTTTTATGTAAACTTTGTTTATCTACTGATCGAGATATATGTTTTAACAACTTCATAGACTCTTAAAACGGTTTAGACCTGACCTATTGTAAATCATCGGTCTATTGGTGAAGACTGTTGCCGCCTCGTTGATGTATCACCTCCATTTCCATTTTTTTTATATATAGGTTGAAACAGAAATTATCTAAAAACGCAACTGAATACTTTAGGTTGAAAAAAAGCAAACTGTAAATGTTTACCTTGGATTGATTTTTTGGTTTCTTGTTCTCTACCTTTACCTTGGATAATGATTTCTTGTTCTCTACCTTTGCCTTGGATAATGATTTCTACTATATCTTCAATGGTAAAATTACTATTTCCTGAGAAAAAAAACAAATAAAAACATATAAAAATCTTTTGATTCTAAATATATATAAATATATATCAAATGAGTTTTTTGTTTGAAACATTAACAATTACTGTACATCAATAAGGCTATCATGTTCCTAATACTCATTTTTTTAAATAACAAACCTATACACAAAGAATGTTATTTCAGTTTATATAAGATTTGCATATCCCGAAGTTAAGGAACCTTTAATTGGATGTTCAAATATATAAATGTGAGCCAATAGTGAAGCAGAACCTAGATATCTTTCACCAGCATTTTTAGTCACTGGCATTTGTGTAGCCAATGCAAATATCTAGTTTTGTGTGTAATGAGCCATAGGTTCCTTTAATTTTCATTTTTGCATTGAAACTATTTGATAGGTAACCCAAATAACGAAAACGAGTCCAAATGCATCATGAAAACTAGTCGTATTTTGAGAAATAATACACTGTGGATACATTACTAGTTCGTGAGATACCAATTTTCGTCGGTACACGAATTTAAATGTTCAACAAAGTACGAATTTTCTATAGGCTTGTATGCACACTTTTGGAAAACCAAGAAATCAATTAACAACGAAAATGCAGTTTTTCCTCAATCCACGAAAATTGGTATACACAAACAGAACTAAATCCACAGTAATAGTATTACCTTCTTTTGATTTAAAAACTTGCATTGCCGCTGTAATATCTGCTGTTTTAAATTCTAACTCCTGCAACTGCTGAACGAAAGGATGGTCGACAAATGATTCTACAATAAGTATAGCCTAATGTTATTTGCATATATTGAACGTGGACTTAAAAAATGTGTAAATTCATTCCCATATATTATTTTTATTCTAATGAAATGTTATCGTATTACGTCTTGAAATATCTTGTAATCTGAACTGAGTTTCATGATGTCGGAATAAAAAGATTCGTCAGCCGATGTATTGAGCATCTTTACACTGTGTACGCGTCTTTCTAACTAGTTTTGATCTGTTCTTTGGTATATGCTTTTTTTAATGGGAGTAATGCATTGAAGTCATTCAATATCATTAGTTTAGCCTTGATTATAAACACAAATTCATAATGGAGGCAAAAGAGTTGATTGTATTATTATTATTAAGGGTTGAAGCGGCATTGGAAGATCTCCTACTATTGTGACGTATCACTGCAAGTCATTTCAGTTTTATCCAACGAATATACGAAAACTGAACACAGTACTCTCTCTCTTCAGTCGTCTTGACTTGAATAACAACAGTTTTATAATATATGATGCATCTTGGGCATATTCTGTTCCATACATAAATTAATTTGGAATCACTACTGATATAGTTTGTGTATTTTCATTAATAGACCTACCGTCTGATCGATAAGCAACTTCTTCATTCCTTTCTTTTGTCTAAAAATCACAAGAAAAGATGTCACACTTAGAAAAAAATCATCCATTTATCATAAACCGGTTCACAATCAATTAAAAATAATCGTAAGCAATAAAAAAAATCTCTGTTATACAGGTGGTGAATGTAAATGCAATATACGTGTTGTTACTATTTGCAACAATTAAAAAAAGATAATTCGATGGTGAAGTCACAAGTATACAGGGTCTTGAAGTAATGTAAGTGAGTAATTGGTAAGTGTGCTCGATTAATTTCAGGTAGGTGGTGATAGTATCATTTTCGTCAGTAATAACTCTCATAACACTATGTCCAATTCCATTGCACATATATATATTTTTAGTTTTCATATTAGACTTGGGTTCCTGTGTTTGAGACGCATATTGACCCAGATGTCCTTATTTCAATGATGCATGGGTACTTTTTAAAACAGAACATACCTCATGTTTAATGCGTATTTCGTCTATATATTCTCTGCCTTTCATTTTGATGACAAATTTACAGAATGGAAACCATCGCGCATGCTCCTCCCATGGTATGTCCTTTGGTTCCCAGTTACGTAGTCCTCCATCACAATAATGACAACGTACTGTGTCTTCTTCACCTAAGATTACCATCAAATATACATGTATCAATGAATGCAAACTAAAAAAGCAAATGTTCAAACTGAATGGTAAAAATGCATGCCATAGATAAACCCACGCTAAAAGCATGATAAATACAAACATTTGAGAGGTTTCTTATTTAAATTGTTACGCAAGACAAAAGCTGTGACAAATAAATAAAAAAAAAACCATCGGGCTATAGCACAAAATATGGACCTGAAATAATACCTAAAACAATCTGATATCCCTTTTACAGAAATAATTAAAAGTTATATGTAAGCATTTAAGATAATTTAGCTATGAATGTCTAGACAACATTTTTTAACAAAGCATAAACTGATTCCTAGGCAATTGGTACCAGTAGGTCATTTCAAACTAGTAATAATCGTTGAGAACTTATGTATTAAGTAATTGAGCTTTATTCAACATACTATGCAGCATAAGTTTTTGTCTTATCTCATCCCCACTTACATTTTATAGCTCATACTCCTTGGGAGGATCATTTTTACGTACAATTCATGCATAAAATTCAGGAAAAGACTAACTACGCTTCTACTTTATCCAGGATAAACACCAAATCACCAAGTTATTTATTAATCAAAATATATTTATGAGTTTTGATTAGTGGTCAATTACACGTCTCTTATTAATTGTTCATGTAACGTTTGTGTATATGTTAAATTTATGGAGAAATCAGTAATACCAGTGTAAAAGAAACCAGCATCCACTAAAATGTCTGGAGTTTGTTCAATATCAGTTCTCCATACACCAGCAAATGTTTTCAATCGTGAATCTTTGTCTTCTAATACAGGATGCTTTGGGTTATATATCTAGAACGAGAACATCATAAATCATGGTAATTATAATTCCTAATCGTTGTGTTCGTACATAATATATGTTATCAAGTTAAACATACTTAAACTACTATTTAAGGATGGGTGAAGGTTGGCGCCTGTTAAAACGTTCAAACCCGCTGTATTTGTTTGCACCTGTCCTAAGTCAGGAACCTGTTGTTCAGTGGTTGTCGTTTGTTGATGTGGTTTCTCGCTTTTTATATAGATTAGACCGTTTGTTTTCCTGTTTGAATGTCTTTACACTTGTCATTTTGGGGGCTCTTTATAGCTTGCGGTTCAGTGCGAGCCAAGGCTCCGTGATGAAGGACGTACTTTGACCTATTATGGTTTACTTTTTACTTTTATTGTGACTTGGATGGAGAGTTGTCTCATTTGCACTCAAAGCACATTTCTTATATCTATTATAACTGACAATGACATTATAATGTTGGTTGATTAGAGTAATCAGTATTTTACCATGCTGGTTTATATTCTTGATATACATGCATAAAGAATTTTAGAAAGAAGCGATTGAGATTTTTCTTATTTATTATGCTTTCCAACTAACATTTCGCAAGTTAAAAAAGATAAAGTAATTTAATGCCATTAATAGCATTCTGCTTCAAAAATACATAACGTCTATTACCAGTTTATATTTTTGTTCCTTTACACATATGTTGAATATCATTTTACTTTTATTGTGACTTGGATGGAGAGTTGTCTCATTTGCACTCAAAGCACATTTCTTATATCTATTATAACTGACAATGACATTATAATGTTGGTTAATTAGAGTAATCAGTATTTTACCCTGCTGGTTTATATTCTTGATATACATGCATAAAGAATTTTAGAAAGAAGCGATTGAGATTTTTCTTACTTATTATGCTTTCCAACTAACATTTCGCAAGTTAAAAAAGATAAAGTAATTTAATGCCATTAATAGCATTCTGCTTCAAAAATACATAACGTCTATTACCAGTTTATATTTTTGTTCCTTTACACATATGTTGAATATCATTAAAATATCGTTTTTTTCATTTTTGTTTCATTTTGTTTGATTGAGTACCTGTAACAGAGAGAACCCTAGTCCTTGTTGTACAACGCATATATAGTTTTTACCAAAATAGATTTGAGTTAAGGCTTTTTTCCCCGACTTATTTTACTAAATTTAAACAACTAAAATTGACAATAAATCACACATTTTTTTAATTTCGATACTTCCGGTGAATACTAGTTTCACCAGTTTTGTTGTGGTTTTTATTGCTCACGCTTTAGTTTTCTGTGTATGTTTTTTTTCAGAATTTTGTTAAAAATCATTTTCTCCTTTGGGCAAGGTGTTAATTTGTGTATGTTTTCATATTCATGACTTGATCTATTTTTGTGTCCTGTGGTATTTTCTAAAAACCAAGTCGTTTTATTTTATTACGCTGTAATTTCGTATAAATTGCAGGTTAAGAAAAGAAAATTGCATACTTCCACGATTTTGTTTAATCATTAGTCTGTTTTGTTTTGTTTTATTTATTTGCATATACGTATTGAAAAACAAATAGATAGTAAACGTTTATATTACAATATATGTATCTGCCGTACCTTTTTCCATCTTAGTTGCACTTCATTAACATAATCCTCCCCCTTTTCGCTTTTAAGGAACAAACACCTACAGTTGTGTCTAGCATGTTCAACCCATGGGTCGTCTTGAGCATCCCATTCTGCTAGTCCAAGATTACAACAGAAGCACCTAACAATATCAGCTTCACCTTGAAAGACGTAAAGAAATCATTTTTTTTCTGGCCAAGAATACAAAATCATAAGTACCACGAAGTCAAATGTGGTATTTTCCTTTATATACGCTGTCCGCATTTGATGATCTCGAAATTTAATTTATTAATTAATGATTGTTTAACGTTTAACGGCAAATACATCATGCGTGATCAGGCGGGAAAAAACACATAATACAACATATAGGTTTTTCCAGGTAGGTCGGCTGGGTTGAAGGGCTGGCAATTTGGGCCGACACTGAAAAAATGAGTGTATGTTGGACACGTGCAAACATTTTGCCTTGCAACAGACTATGTACGCACATCTATGATAGTTATTGCAAAGGTTCTAAAACAAGAAGAGAGCTTTGCACTTTCCCCAAAAAAGGATCAGAATTTACGTCCTCTCCAGATTGGATTGGCTGCGAATTTATCAATCAATTAATTATCGTTGGATTGATGTCTCGTTGACATATGCTTAACATATTTTTTTCATACCAAAATCGAACCTTTCGATTATTGATTATTTATATTGCTTAGTATAAATTTGATGGCAAATTTAAATAACAATATGACATCATTGCCATAGATTTGCCAATATTTTGTCGTAAACTAACAGTTCAGGGGTATTTATTCAACATTACCTCTGAAATAATTGCACTGATGCTTCCGGATGTTCGTAATATTTGTTAATAAACAGTGCGAGATTATTATGTGCGTAAAAATGAGTTCATAACATATGAATCTTCTTTAGACTTTAAGTTAGTAAAACTTTTACCTGTGTAAAAATAACCAGCTTCAGCCAATAGAATTGGTCGCTGTTTTGAGGAGAACATCCAGTTTGTATAGGTCTGTAATCTCGACTTGACGCGTTGAAATTGTGGATATTTAAGCTGTGCAACAAATCCATCAGTGAACTTATATGTAAGTAAATTATCATTTAAATGTAAACTTTTTTCAGTAGTCATTAAATTGAGGTTGGAAAAGTTGTCTTCAAATGCATGGTTATTTTTCTTAGCAGTTAATTTTTCGTCGAAGGAGAAGGTCGTATCAAAAGTGTTAGTGAACAGAAACTTTGAATCTTGTTCAACTTTGGCTTCTTCTAAATTTGCTACTTGATTTTCAACAGCCATTGGATCTGACGTTTGTATTGATAAGGACGATATCATTTCGTTCATGCCGTCACATCCAATATCATTTATCTCTCTGCTCGTCTCACGTATTCCATTTATCATCTCTGGATATCTGGGAGAAATGTTATCAGTACTTGCGTATGTATCTGGAGGACAAAACACATTATCAGCAACAAATGTAGAATAGATAGTTTCATGTCCTCCTTTTAGTAGGAATGATTTATCATTAGACTGTTTTGTACTTAAGTCGACATATGATCGAACTGGATTGCCTTTTTTGTCTTTTTCTAAACCAGTAAGATGATCATTTTCACGTGAAGTGCCCACTTTCGGACAAATCTTGAATCCGTTACCTTGAACGAAGCTACAATCAGGACTGCAGCGTGCATGAGCCTCTGATGGATTCTCTGGTGGAATCCAGGAGTTAACTGAGGCTGTGTAATCACAGGTAAAACAACGGACGATATGCTCTGTTCCAGTGTAGAAAAATCCTGCTAGAGCTAATGGATAAGGCCAAAACAGGGGATGTACTGGCCAGTATGTATACGATGCTATGCGTTCTTGTGGTGTTTTGAAAATCATTCCACCAGGTAGAAAAATCTGTTCACATGGGACATCATAAAGAAAATATCTAGATGGAAGAACTTTATTCGTCTGTTGATCAGAAATATCAGATGTCCATGCATTTCTGTCTCTATCTATAAAATAGGTTATTGATTTTCTATTTTTATCATCTTCTTTTGTTGATCTATATTTATAAAAGTAAAATTCTTCTTCTGGTAGCATACCACCATTCCATAGATGTTTCTGAAAATGAATAATAATGTATAACTTGAACAGCACGCACCACAAAGATCATTCAATAAACTTACACCATGCATGAAACGCAAAATCAGGTTCTTTATTGTGTACTCAAATAAAAATTATAACTTTCAATGTTTTACTCTTAGTTTAGATTAAACAGGTTAAATTCTAATATATCTTTCCAGTTGTAAAATAAAAACACAAAAAAACAAGAACCACTGACAATACTTTTAGAGGCAAAGAACCAAATATAGTTCAAAACGTAAATTTATGGACACGTACCCAGTCGCTGTATACAAAATTGAACAATGTTGGGTCGGAAACAAACGGTTTACAGAACACTCAAATCGACTGCGACTACTGTTATATTTTCCTCTGTTGTTTACGGGACATTTTCAATACAATACACATTGAAATTGTCTCATTTCTTTGCGATATGTTATAACATTTTTAGATATTATTCATTTAAATCGAAATAAATATATCAACATTTTTGGATTAGCAGACAACAATTTGATGGCGTTTCAAAGTGGTTTTAAAAAGTTTTCCGTATATGCAGTGAAGCACCTATTACTGTGCATGTTCTACATGACAACGGATCTTAATAAATTGAATCTATCAAAAAATCTACAAAATATCTTAACTTTGTAAAAATATCATATCTTAGTTTACCTTATTACTTCCTTGTTTTCTTGAAACGGCATGATCTTTGTCTGCTGAATTTTTAGGTAAAGAGTGTACAAGAACGCCCATTATTTGGTCAAATTTCGAACACAGTTGTTTGTATGCTGAAAACGATGTTATATCACAGGTTAACAGCTGCTGACCTAGAGCAAGAAGACGAACCAGTCCTTTTTTCAATGGCAACAGGTGTAGCAACAAATGCTTCGCTAATGTTATATCGTCTTCATAAAGTTGATCAATTGTAATATCGGACCTAGCCATAATCTTGGAAACGCATTCTACAGTTGAGTTTGAACCATTTGTACATTTTACCGAAGTCAAATTAGGTTTGGAAAAAAGATATGTCCACTGTTTCTGTGTGATTATGCTAAGGTGTTTGCGACTGTTGTTTTCGCATTTGCAACAGTTATTGAAACCCCCGACTAAATGATATATATCGTGTTTATTTTCGTTCAGAAATTCAACAAATGTCGTTTGTAACTGTAAGCACTGACGCCAGAAAATAACATCACAACAATCAAGCAGACACCAAGCTATATCTAGGTCTATGTCTTCCAAGGTTATCAAACAATTCATTTTGTTTGTATTTAGTTTCGATGAGGAGTTTGGGATGCCTAAAAGGTCGAGATGGTTTTGTTGAAGCCGTCGGCGGTCCGGAAGCAAATAGTCAAATGAACATAATTCACATCTTGTAGTAAAATGATAATAATGGTACAAATCATGCTTATGTTCTTCTATCAAACATTGGAACGATCGACGACTTTGGACCAGATAAAACTTAATTACTTCCTGGGCTGTTCTCAGTATTCTGTGTTCCTTTCTTTTTAATTCTTTAATTATTTCTTCTATGTAATCATCCATTACCTTTACAGTAGAACAAACATCAAGTCTATAAATGCAAAAAAGAAGGCAATTTGAAAAGAAAAGAAAAAAAGGTATTTTCCAATAAATAATTATCTGCAAATAACAGTTAATGTGTAGTAAAAGTCAATAAGACAGCAAACTACAACACAACATTTATACAATGATGATTTTGTAATCAAAGAGTCCTCAACAAATGAAAACATCAAAAAATGCCAATGAGACCACTCTTCTGCAGAGACCAAATGACATAGATGTAAACACCTATAAGTCATCGTACGGCTTTCAACAATGAGCAAAACCCATACCGCATAGTCCGCTATAAAAGACTCCGAAATGACAAATGTAAAACAATTCAAACAAAAAAACTAACGGCCTGATGTATGTACAACACAAAGAACGAACAACAAATATGATGTGCAGCAACAAACGACAACCGCTGAATTGCAGGCACATACAACATGAATCAGGGTTGTACTAGTTTACTGGCGATAACCCCTCCCCATAAACTAGCTGGGACAATGGTGTAACATTACAACATTAGAACAAATATAGATATCAACTGAAAAGGGCTAAACATTTTATACCATATTAAACATTTGGATTAGACACGAAGACACAGTTGACAGAGATTACCAAACGGCTGCCCTTAAAACTAAAAATATATATCAAATAATGAGAAGAATAAGAAGAGAAAAAAAAACGATAAATAAAGACAACCAATAACGTTCTTCCTGTCATGGAATAGGCACATTTTGAACATATGAATGGGAGTATCAGCCAAAGTAAGTCCTAAAAAGACATTCATATATAGACGTCAGAGCAATATTGGATTTTTTTACTCTCGAGGGTTGAACCTTACATCAGCTATAATAGATCAGCTGAACAATAAAAGGAACATTAATGAACATACAATTAAGCTAGCCTAGTTCAGCAAAAGCAAGGAAGAAATTAACTTTTTGCTGACAATAAAACACATAAAAGAACTGTTGAAAAGAGTATCTAGGACTGCTGGGTTTTACTGAACGCTAGATCATATTAGAGTAGTATAATTATGATAAACAAGCAAAACTTAAAGTGCACAATAACCCATCTTGTTAGTAAAATATTTTTTCATTATTTCATAATGCTTCGCCGAGCGCAGCCTGATACGACCGCAGAGATCGAATCCTGAACAGTTGGGGCAAGTTTAGACATAATATTAAAGCTTGATACTGTCTGAATTTGGATTGTGATCAATTTTTTGACATAATATAGGTTTCTGACACAAAATAAATGTGGTCAAAGATCATAGAAATTTTAATTGGGACATTTAATTTACCTAGTATGGTCTGATATCCCAAATCTAACAACATGGTTATATTCAGCACATAAAAAACACAAAAAATTTAATCTTAGTTGAAATTAAACACAGTTTAATTTTAGACCCTTCAAACCTTAATATGGACTAATGTGAAAACAGGGCCAAAAATAAAAAATCTAAATGCACAATAAGATTCAACATATCATAGAGCCGCAATAATTCAGTTTTTGATGAAATCAAACAAAGTTTAATTTTGGACCCTTTGGACCTCAATGTAGACCTATTTTAAAATGGGACCCAATATCCAAAATAGTAATACAAGGTTAGAACTCCTCAAAATTAAAGACTTTAAATTAATCCCATTGAAAATGGTTAAAAGATTTGTATTTATTTTCAATTGAAGATTTAACTGCGATATTGCGCAATACTGTGTCATTGCCCAATACTGTGCTATTGCGCAATAATATGTTATTGCGCAATATTGCGCAATAAAAGATTTCTTGCTATTGCACAATACTGTGCTAATGTGCAATACTGTGCTATATTCCAATAATGTGTTATTGTGCAATACTGTGCAATTGAAGATTTCTTGCTATTGCGCAATACAGTGCAATTGAAGATTTCTTGCTATTGCGCAATATTGTGCAATTTAAGATTTCTTGCTATTGCACACAATACTATGCTATTGCGTAATACTGTGCTATTGTGCAGTAAAGATTTCTTGCTATTGCGCAACACTGTGCAATTGAAGATTTCTTGTTATTGCGCAATACTGTGCAATTGAAGATTTCTTGTTATTGCGCAATACTGTTACTCTGTTATATATAATAATTTACACACCCTGTTTTGTGTGTATCTCCTGCCATATCAGTTTGCTTTTATATATAAATCAGTTATAATCCTTTGGATCCTATTAATTATTCACTTGTATTAATATGTAAATGCCAATTTGTGTACATTACTTAACCTGAATTTAATTAATAAAATATGTTTACACTAGAAATAATCAATGTAAAAATGTAAAATTTTCAGAAAAAAAAAAACATGAAAAAAAATCCCCCCCCCCCCTCATAAAAAAAATTAGAAATATTGAAAAATATCGATGAAAAAAATTTGAACCCCCCAAAAAAATGTTAAAAATCCCGTCCAAACTTTTTGAACGCCCACTTGTTTTTGGCCCCTTTTTTGCCCTTAATTCCTGAACGTTTGGGGCAATTACCCCCAATCTCAATCCAAGCCGTCCCTTTGTGATATGGAACCTAGTGGGACATTTTCAGAGAGATCCATACACTAACACACAATTTTTTGTCCTGAAACTACAAAAATGCTTGTTTTTGGCCCCTTTTTGGCCATTAATTCCTATTCTGTTGGTACCATAACCCCCAAAATCAATCCCAACCTTTATTTTGTGATATTGAACCTTCTGGTAAAATTTCATAGAGATCCATTCACTTAAACTAAAGTTATTGTCCGGAAACTAAATGTGTCTTCAGACGACGACGACGACATGATACCATAATACGAACGCAAAAATTTGTTTGCGGTCGTATAAAAACCAGACATAATTTCGAACAGCAACGAACAACTTTAAACGTGAAGGATTAAATTTGATAAATAAAGAATAGTTTAATGGGCATACGATACAGTTTTGATCTCACGGTGAATTTTTGACGAAAGTTTGCATGCAAGCTATTTTTCTTTCACCTAGTCAATTCAAATATGTAATAAAAAATATACCTTCATGTGCTACTTTTAGAGATAAATGGGGTCGAAATTTTATACATTTACTGGAAATTTTGGTTTCTTGGACATTTCTATCCTTTGGAAAGACATACTTAACTTTTTTGTTTCAAAAGATAAAAGCAAGCTGATTTTTTTTAAAAGCATCTGGAATATCTTCTCTACATAAGTGTGCCTTGAATTTGTGTAACAAATCTTTGGAAATTATTCATTTTTATCACATTTACATGATTTTAGTCAAAGAACGGCATTTTTTCTGTATATTTATCTAATTTGAAAAAAAATCATCGGTGATTTGTTCATTAAAATTGGCACAAACAATCTTCATAAATAATAAAGCCAAATGTCATTTTAAAAAAGAGGGGTCCATGAACTCGTTTTCGATTTAAATCAGTCTGAATGATAAAAATCAGTCAAAAATGCATCTTTTCCCGATATATCACAGTTTGACGTCGTGAAAAATAACATTTTACGTTAGCAACGTCATTACCCCCCTGTAACTATATCGTATGCCCTTTTACATATGTTGGCCTCTGACTACATGCATTGTTTCTTCTTCTTTTTCATTGGGTTGCTTGCATTCTACATTAACTTTAATTCATAAGAAAATTATAATTACATGTTTTGACGCACATCCAAGTTTGAATGTCTCTTCAAAATGATCGTTGAATTAACAATTTGCAAAACGTCAGCTAGCAACGTGCAAACAAAATAGTCTGATACATCATTTTGTAGATATCAAACACTATATTAATAATAATAATAATTCAGAAAAATCAATTTATATTTTTGCTATAAAACGTAAAGACTTTTTGTTATAAATGACTTTTTTTTAGATACAAAGATGGGACCAGTAGAAATTTAAGCGGATGAAAGGTTTTTCTTTTTTTTCATTTCCTTTTTAACTAATACCCTTTCACAAACACGGATTTTTCTTTTGTGACCTTACGCATCGCCAATCCGTTAGTATCGTCAATTTTTCGTAAACCGTTCGCAAACAATTCATGCGAAACCACTGTAATTTCTTCGGTTACTTGTATATTTAAAAGTATGCAGAGACATAGGGTACACCATGTACAGTCGTATTCAGGTACTACTTCAATTCCAGTCTTGAAAACTTTTACATACATTTTAATGAACTGTTTTGCTATAATAGAATAGTAATTTGAATTGTCATATTTTATATAGTAATTGAGGATTCATTTGCTAAAAGAAAAACAAAATTGCATTCTGCTTAAAAGCCGAAGTAACTTTACGAAAAATAAGGATTTTATTTAATGGGTACACAATGTACATGTAGTTTTGATTATAGTATTATTTAGTAAACTGAAACAATTAGCCGCATATTTCAATCTACAAAATGTTCGTCCTTGTGCTCTCTATAACAGCGGTGCATGATCCTATCCGTATGGTTCCAGTCGGTTAAACGGTTAAAAGCAGAGAATTTGATTCAGGACGATTTTACAAAATATACTGGAAATAACAAATAACATGAATACGGAAGTAATACTGAATAATAATGACAGATTTGAAAAATCGTATACCTTACTCTGGCATACATGTCTAAAAGATAACAAACGTGTACCAGGAAGTAGTTTGAAATCAACTATATGTTATAATGCTGTAATTCGATCATGTTTATATCGGAATATCAATAATGTAGATTTATCGCAAATAAAGATATAAACAATCAAAGACATAAAAATGTCTAACTAGTCAAGTGATATATGAGTATTCTAAACAAAATATTACGCCACGTTTCATATATCTTGCCTCATCAAATGAAATGTAAATAAAACTAAATTTTGAATTATTACTTCCAAGAACCCCTTCGATACTATTTTTTAACAAAATCTGAAAATTGTATAAAACCTCTTGAAAAAGCTATATTTCTTTTTGAAAGATTATTATTTTAAAAAAATTCGTTGTCGTACTTACCAGGAAATAGATATTTAATCTTTAAACTGGTAACCCGTGATACATGTATACAGTGCATCATACATGTACACTGATATCGTCACTAATAATAGAAATGAGGAAATATAAATGGACCATTAAAAGACAATATCTGAATATAACGAATTGCTATCTTAGATTTACGTCGCTGGTGGTAATATGTACTACATTGAAAAGCCAATATTAGAGGTATGTTCGGTACAACCTTGTACAACATGGAACATTGACAAGCAATTAACCAATACACAGAGATACTTACAATGTAGATGTTTTCTTTTTCTCGAAAACCTCATTATTCATAAAACCACTTTAAATGTTATCCATACCGTTTCTTAATAGCCATAATGTTATTCTGAAATGTGAACAGAATAGACAAAATTTTGCAATGCATATCAAAAAAAGTTTTAACACAATCCTGTAAGCCAATAACTCTGAATATTTTTTTTGAAGCACAACGTTTTGAATTCTAATTGTTTGTTTGTAAAATCTAACACCAAAGAGGCTGCAATATGCTAATTAAAAAAAGAGATAATTACATTGAAGTTTCGGCATTCACGACAGGCTCTACACGAGGAGAACGAGTTTCTTACACGTCCGTTGCAAACGAGATTAACTTTCTGCTGCTTAGTCTTGATTTGTCGGTAGTGTATGCTGTGGACTGTTGTTTTGTCGTTTGGGTGTGTTTGCCATAATGGTGTATGTCCTTCTAAACTTATGGGTTTTGAATGGCACCTAGGGTAGTCAGGATTGTTTTTTACGAAATTTCATTTACGCATTATGCTAAACTGGTTTTTGTCAAGAACACTTTTATTCTCAATTTTTTGCATAATTATGTGGTGTTGCAGAATATGCATTTTCACCCTTGTCAAGCCAGATTAGTCATTTTTTGATATCCCCCAGCAACCCTCGCCAGAATAACAGCAAAAATGTGAAAAAAAAATGGAAAAATGTATATTTCTGGAACAAAAACTGATTGACTAAAAACAAATGTTGAGGATTAATACATGTAGATCTTGTCGAGCTGATCATTTTTGCAATTTACGCTTGTTATTTAGCTTTTTTTTTTTCACGAACACAGCTAACAAATGCAAACATTATAACAATTCTAAAACAGGTTGACATATTTTTCTCCAATTTTCAACATAGATACATCGTGTCGTACTTAACCTTTTTGCCTTTAACACTTTTAACCTTACTTCTATATTTTCCAGTTTAACAGTCAAAAATCATGTCAGTTTTTCTCTAAATGTTATTGTTTAGAGATACTATCAACACTTTAGTTCTATTTTCAAACATGGCTGCCATGTTGATTTATCAACCTCGACAAAATTCACAAACTTTATACAGTATACTGTATAAAGTTTGTGAATTTTGTTATATGCACGGATCGGACAGATACATATATACTTAATAGAAACGTACTCCGCAGTAATTATATGCGATAAACGCGGACTTCGATGAAGATACCTTTACCCAATAAATGTAATTTCAACCATTTTAAGGAACTGAATAAGATTGAAATCAATTTATTCTAGTTGTCTGCCCATAGACCGTTATTTGTTTTCCCGCGCTTCATGGAATAAAACCATTCAGTACGACAGGGCCGACTCGATTAGGCGTGTATCGATCACAGTTAAAATTTTTATCTTACTTGTGTGATTGTTTTGATGCTATATATAGTATGATTGCTATATTTAGTATGATTTGATTTCAGTAGAAATTATACATTACTGACTATATTTTGTTGACATGATATTATGTATTATGATGTGCAATTAAATTCAGCACACGACACTGTGTGGGTAGTTAATTTGAAACTTTAGTTTGGTTTTTATTAGCATTTACGAGGCTGTGGTTTTGTGTCTAGAGTTGTGTAGTCTATGGCGTTAGTAATTGTATAAGAATTTGAATTGAACTTGGTCCATTACATATGAAAAAATATATATTCTATAAACGAAGCAGACAAACTTTGTTTTTAATCCTTTCAGCCAAAATGCAGAATTGGCATATTACCTAGTCTATATTAAAAGGAATGTGTTGTTTATATGATTATAGTTTCAGCTTTATCATAATTATGTTAATTTCTTTCACTGGGGAGGGGGTGGGACCTAGGAGGAAACATTGGATTTTTTTTGTAGTTCCCACAACTTGAAGCCGGAGATTGAAATATATTAAAGATTCCCTTCAAAGACCTGAAAATTTCAACTCCCCCTTCCTTCAACATTTGTCAATACTTTTGTTCTTTAAAATGAATAAATAAATTATTGTCACAGAGGTATCGCGGTAAATATGTGTGACAAATATCGGTTCAATGCACATGCATTAGTGATACAATAAGTTGTAAAGCTCTGATAAACTGTGTTTGAAGTTTTATAGATTCATAGATGCGCGTTTTGTTATTTTGATAGTATAATGCAATTGTTGAAATCAAAATGGCAATATTAAAACACGTAAACTATCCAAACCAGAGTCAATGAACCGTGACTGGAGGTGCAGGGCCAAATAAAATAGAAATGTGGAATGCAAATGATTATAAAACTGCAAACAAAATATCACTGACTTAAGGATGTGTAATAATCCTGTGTGGGGATACGAGAGGCAAAATAATTGGAGCTCATAAAATTACATCCTTTAATGGCGCTTGCAAAACGAAAAAGAGACAGTACCTGTGATTACGATTACATACATGTATATAACAAAATCGTATACGGACTGAACAGTATTTCCGGAAACGCGGATTCAACCCCCTATATATATATTACATCCCCCCGACAAAAGAAAAATGTAAATTTTTCTCAGGGTTGAATTCGCTTTACAATATATATGCACCAACTCATATACCATCTCAAAACACAGCATGAAAAATGACAATTATCTGACGTTGCGAAATCCCAACTTTTGAAAGTTAGTAGTTAAATATATTTTTACAGATCCGAAATTGTTTCGTGATACATGTATCATTGAGTAATAAATTCAACAGAGCCCCCAACTCTTACAATATTGTGAAAATGTCCTATAATGATCACATTTCATAAGTTGCAAGTTTCAAAAAAATATATCAACTATCTCTCACAGAATCATGGTGCACCAAACCCATTTACGCACACACACTCTCATAAAAAATATGAAATTGCTAACAGATAAAACATATCAGAAAGATACAATTCACGGGGTTTATTTTTGAAATTATCTCGATATCACTAACATAGATCCTAGATAATACACTCCTCATAAAAGTTCCAAAAGGACGTTAACTACAGATTTCCGTCTTTATACCATGCAAAAAAAAAACCCAAAAAAAAAACATTCTCTCTACATTTTCCTTAATTTGCTCGCTAATGAAACTGTATATCACTATCATGTTTCCTTAAAAATCCACTAAATACAAAATGAACCATATTCATACGATCTCATCAACATATTTCAAAAATAGTAAAGATCGATGTTCAATATAAACATACAAAATTCGGCATTCTTCATAGAAAATAATTATTGAATTACAAATCTGAAAACGCAGTACCAACTTTCTGCTATTATGTTACAAAATTAAATAAATCAAATGTTAATGACTAGATAATTCAAACTTGATACTTATGTAAATGAAATTGAAATAAAAAATCTACAAGTATAAAAATGCACAAGTGTTTAGCATAATGTCATGTATACGCAATATCAACAATCGTTCATTATTTTCATCAGAATAATAGAAAAAATCAAGCAAACATACCTAATACGAATTGTTCAAGTATTTTAAAAAGATAAGTAATATCAAGATATGCAAAATAAAAAAAAATCTTAAGCAGTTAATAAGCAGTTTCCATGTACATGTATATTATATATGCAAACAAACTAATGTCCGTATATTTAAAAAAAAAAAAAATTCTTATTGAATAATATTGAAATTGGGCTCCGCTCTGTACTGAATTTCATCTGACATCATAGTAACGGATTGTCATGAGATAAATCTCACGGACAAAAACATGAAAAGTTCGCCAGAAAAAGTCGTTGTACCATCATCATAGGGCATTGTCATGAGATAAATCTCACGGACAATAAGTTCAAGAAAAGCATCGCTGTACACAGATTAATAAATTGTCATGAGATAAATCTCACGGACAAAAAGTTCCAGTAAAGCATCACTGTAAACATCCGGGTAACTTGTCATGAGATAAAACTCAAGGACAAAAAGGTTCGAAATAAACATCCTCGTCAAGCATTAAAGTATAAATTGTTCAAATTGGCAATTGTCTGGAATTTTACAACAAAATTCGTTTAATATGTACAATATGAGCATTCCATAAAATTAAACACTGAATAAAACATTAAAAAAACGGTGTATCATGAGGTAAACCTCACGGACACAAAACGACTCATAGAATTTGTGGAGGTAGTCGGTGGTTTATCAAATCACGGGCTTTCTTGTCAAAATCGGACTCCTTTAGCCAACGGGCATTTTGAGCCGGTTCTCCAATAAAATGAACTAAATAACTCATTGTTCCGTCCATAATTTTCCTAGCAAGTATTCGTTTAACTTTGTAAAAACGATTTTCATCACTCGAAACAATTTTGTCTCCTGGATCGGTGAAACTTTCATCTTCAAAACGAGCTGGTTTCTTTTTTAATCGGGTTGATTTCCGGATTGGGGACTGAATACTTTTCCCTTTGCACTTTTTTGTTTGTTCGTCTGTCGCATTGTTTGAATTGTTATTCATCAAAATTTTTCCTGTGTCGTTCTCTGTATCATTTGAATCATTGTCATTTATTTCAGAATGTGACACTGTCGTATTCGATAATTCACTTGTTGCAGAGAAGTCCGATGCAGTATTTTGGTCCGTGGTTGTATTTACATGTATTTTTGTTTCAACTTGATCAATGAAGTATTGTGCAGGATTTGGTTGACGCACGTACGCCGGTTTTATCCGATTAATGTGAATAGGATTCGGAAGGCATTTTTGTGAATCTGGGTCCTTCAAAACTACCATATGAGGACTGTGAATTTTATGAATGATATATGGCCCAGCATAACGGTATTTCAGTTTTTGTCCCTGTCCTGTAGGATTTTTGCTGAGATAAACATAATCATGTTCTGCGTACTGTAGAGGGTTCAAACTGTCATTTACACGTTCCACCATTTTTATTTGAGAAGTTAATGCATGTTCTTTCACTTCTGATCGAATTATTTCTAATCTTGCGCACAAATTTTGAACATATTCATGACAATCGTTTGGAAGCGTGTTTATATCCTGTCTAAAATGTCCGGTTAATGGAAAATTAGGCCTCCTGCCGTAAACTATCTCAAATGGAGAATATCCTAGACTGGCGTTAACGGTATTGTTCATTGAGAAAAGAATA